TGGAAAACGGCCCATGTTTAGTTGATTTTCCCATTAAACATGGTGATTTTCCAAAGCTATGTTAGTTTACCAGAGGGTATATTCTCTGCTTTCCATCATTTCACAAGCCAAACAAGCAAGATGTTCGCAGTTTTGCCAGTTCAAAATATCATCCATGTTTGCAAATGTTTGCAACAAAAACCACCATCTTTCTTTACAGTCCATAATATGCATATAGTTATTTAGTTTTAGTTATTATTCTACTGAATTTTGGCCAGTTATGAAGATGCTGCAGTTCCCGAATTGGGATTGGATGATTTATCCCCCCGTGGTATTTTTTCCGCATGAGGTCTCGCCCCGTCTGCGAAAAGCGCCATTCGTTTGGGCTTCCCCTCGTCCTCGGGGGCTGTCTCAAGGCAGGTCGCGCAGGGCGCAGGGAGGATGTGATTTGTGCAAGGTGGTGCACCCTTTAGGCCACGGTTGATCGCTAGTCCGCTGGTTGAACTAAGTTGGTGAAGTGTTGGGTTTATGGTGGTGAGAACATGTAATAACTATATTATAATATATTATATATATAGTTAGATGGGATTATAAACCAACGTTCAACTTACAACTTGGGGGCCCTGCATTGTGGGATTTGCCCATCAGCCAATACCAGTTGTGAAGACCACGTGTCACACATTGGCAGTTCATCATCAACAATTGGGTTTTCATCTTCACAAATGGAGGTTTGACCGAGAACATGGGTGAAGATTTGCAAGGATTTTATACAATGCTGATTTGCAAGGATTTTATACCAGTATACTATCTAAGACAAGTACGACTCAGTCTAAGTGGACGAGAACAAAGCAACAGAAAGAATGGTTTAATATGTGTCAAACAGCTTCAATGCGGATTCAACATGCGAGGTAGTACCAATGACAGTGGGGGCTACACAACCCGAAAAGGGGCATGATATTTTTATGCCATCAAGGATATCTCCAAAAATAACCGACCATGACCACCCAGTCAAAATAAAGTGTTAAGAACATTTAAGAACCAAGACCAAAGAGAAGTTGCACTTTTCCTTAAATATAGTTATTGAAAATGGTGTATATTCCCGATTATGGTCATTTTTAACAGTGAAGATGATGATCAACCATCAAAAATGAAGTGGGCGTCCCTCAAATGTTCATAGGGAGAATCATCCCCAAAACTGGGGATGTCCAATAGTTTTAATATGTTTGAATCATTTGCCGAGAGAATTTTGAAGATGGAGGGTAGCCAGATCCAAGAGATGCTGGAAGTACCCTCTGGTAATTTAACATATAGCTATTGAAAATGACCATTTATAGTGGATTTACCCATTGAAAATTGTGATTTTCCATAGTTATGTTAGTTTACCAGATGGTAACCCACTAAATCAAACCGCACTTGTCACATCGCTCAGGATGTTCGAACATAGGGTGCCCCCAAAGTCCTCTGATTAATCAATGTTCTTTTCCACTTGTGTACAGAGTCCTACCCTCTGGCCAACGTTTACATAACTATGGAAAAACACAATTTTTGCTTAGGGAAATCAACTATTTCTATGGCCATATTCAATAGTGTTAAATTACCAGAGTCCTAGTTCCGGTCCTAGGCTCGCACAGAAGGAAAAGTTCGCGCCCGCGCAGTGATCGAGTCCTTGACCACGAAGCACCGTGACCACCGGGAAGGTGTAGCGCTTCGAGAACGAGGCCAGACACACGAGGCTGTTCATGAAGAAAGTCACTTCCCCAGGATGTTCACCCACGACTTTGTGCCCGGAAGTACCTGATGTTCTACTACCGTACTTCGAGTGGCCTGCTGCGGGCATTTGTGAAAGGCATACCCGGCAGACCCCATTTTCAGACACGCACAATCACCATCTCAATACATCCACATATCATATCAAGTTGCTTAAAAAATGCTTATATGGGGGTTTCCGTAAATGAAGGTACCCCTTTATCGCTGGATGCTTTATTTCATAGAAAATCCCTCGAGCTAAATGGATGATTCAAGGGGACCCCTATGGATTGGTAATCTCCATATCCCATCTATGGATGAAAAAAACGACGTGACCTCTCTGTGACGTCACTGAAATGAAAGTTGGGATTCGGGGAATCTTTGTTTCAGCTATTTCCAGGTTAGCGAATCTGTATTATTCGGCCAGAAATTTACCATCTGGTTATGACTAACATAGCGAACTGGAAAATCCTATCTATAAATGGAGGTTAAAGTCGGTTAAAGCAATCAAAGTATTATGGGAAACTGGTTGGTGGTTTGGAACATGAATCTTCTTTTACTGTGCCGATTTTAGTCGGTTGTTGAGATTCCCATGGTTGATAGTATCCCAAACATGTCAGCCAGATTTAATCTCCACTACCCATAGGATCCATGGTGCTGCTATATATGGTAACATGGATCCCATCAATATACCCCATACCCCAAATGTTAGCGTATATACCAGCACCATGGATCCTATGGCTTATAATCCAATTCTATCAGCATTGGTGGCATCAAAGCTCTGAGGCTTGGAGTGTTGCCGTTGCTCTTGGACTTTGCACATCCAGACACTGCGCTGGCACTGCGCGGTCTTCAACGTCCAGGCGCTCGCTTGGAGATACGCCAACTGCTGACCCAACTCAAATAGCTCGCTGAAAATGCTCTTTCATACAGGATGGTGCCCCCCAGTGATCTAGGTCAATCTTGCATGGGTACTTTAGTCCCAACTAGTCTTTTGGTATGGGAATATCTACGTTCACCAGCAAAGAATCTGGTCCATTTTTTGCAGGCTATCTGGCTGATTGGCAATGTGATGTGAACCTTGAAGCCTTGGTTTATAAACTATGAAGGTATCCCCATGAATACTATGAACTAGTTCGTTATATCTACCATAAACCTTTGTTAATTCAGCCACTGAAATCATTCGGGGGCCCAGATTTTCAAGATGGGATGACCATCGGATGACCATGTTGTCGGATGATTGTATGGTGGTTTTCAACCAAGAAACATTGTGATGTTTAAAGGGATTTAGAGCTGATTTATGATGGTTTATTTACCCCAGAAACACTATCCAGACATAACTAGGTCAATTTTTCTATGGGTAGAAACTCATCCTGGTTAGTCTTTCTAGGTACCAATGGGATTCACCAGCTAAGAATGTATGTGTTGTTTGCAGGATATCTAAGATTGGCACTGTTTTAACATGTTTTCATAACTGGAATTCGTTTTATAACAAAAGAATCTGTGACTGGGATTAATCTCAATTTTAGCCAGCAGAATTGCGATTTGTCTCATAGAACTTGGTATGATTTGCCATTTTCATGGGTCAATGAAGGTGGAATTTGTGTGCAGTCTTGAAGAAATATTACAGTACACCTGTTAGATTCCAACTTTAGTGGATTCAAAAGCAATGTTTTCTTGAATAAATCCACACTTCTTGTTGAAGCCCCACATTTGCTTCTTAAAATCCATAGACTTTCTGTTTTCCATCGCAATCTTTGCTAAATCCACCCTCTGGTCATCAAACATAGCTGCAGTATGGGGCCCCCAGTCGATAGCGTTCAGAAACACCGTATTTCAGTGGCTGAATTTAACAAAGGTTTATGGTAGATATAACGAACTAGTTCATAGTATTCATGGGGATACCTTCATGGTTTATAAACCAACGTTCACATCACTGGGGGGCCTCGTCCTGTGAAACTCCAGCCCATTTACTTTGTTGATTTCCCCAAGCTGGGGCTGGTTCACTTGCCACTTGCCTTGGTGAATCTTCAGCACAGGGTTGGTGAAAAGAATCTGCGTCAGCCTTGGATGTGCACTTTGATACTTTAAATATATTTTGATAGGTTACAATGAACGGGTGCATACTCTTATATATAGTCATCCTCGAGCAGATAGAATATGAAAATGGCAAAAAACATCATTAAAAATTGAAGAAGATAAATTCCATTCCATCTTCTACTTCAGGATGATTATGGGTACCAGATGAAAGTTTAATTCAGTGGCCCATCAAAGATTTGCCGTACAGCTCCATCACCAGGACTGTCGATGTTTATCTTCTCGGGGCTTCGATTGGGTTCGCCTCTGTTGGGGAGCTCAGCGCTTAAGAAACAATTGAACACTGAGTGGATGGGTTATTAAAATTATTAGCTAGGTCAATCTTACATGGATACTCTAATCCTTTAGTCTCTTGGTATTAATGGGCATATCTACTAACCGGCAAAGAATTTATTTTTTTGCAGGGTATCTAAGATTGGCAATGAAAAGCTTCAAGGGTAATTGGCATTTGTATGGGATTCGGGGTTCATATGGCAAAGCTTTGTTGGTGAGTTGGGATGTTGGGTAGGTTGAGTAACCATCAAAAATGGTCGCATAATGATGGGGGTTAATGTGGATGAATTATCAATACTAGCAGAAAATCATGGGAAATTATCCCCACAATGAGCTGCATGTGCAAAGACGAGTTGGATTGGTGTTGAAGATAAAGCTCTACCAGTAGTGCCGCACAAGGCGGCGGAAGTTTCAAAGACAGGAAACCTATAGGAGGTTTTTTGTGTGACTCATGGATGGCAGAGCGAACCCACTGATGGACAGAAAGGTGGTTGCGGCTCTGAGTCTCTCCCTCGCTCCCTCTCCCTCTCCCTCTCCCTCTCCCTCTCTCTCTCTCTCTGTGTCCCCATGTCCCTGTCTCTCTCTCTCTCTATATATATATATATTCAACTGCTCAAGGCACTTGCAGGCTGAAGTTCACGAAGTAGCTGAGGCTCTCAAGTCACAAGGTGAGGAATATGGCTAAAACAGACCGGAAAGGAATACGGATCCACAGTATTCACACTAAGGTCGCACAGCCCCCTTTTCCTCGAGTTCCAAGACTGCGTAACAAGCAGAGACTGACTTGTCTAGCTACAAGTGGAATCACTTGCATCACCTCCACCCTCTTGTTGCTTTGAATATTTTTTTCAAAAACTTCGACAAAAACAACACACAACACAAAAACCAACAAACCAAAGAACACCTCAGGTAGCCTCTTGAGCTTCAGGTCCCGTTCTGGCTTGTTGTGGCTGCTGCTGCAACGCTTGTAGTCCACATTGTCGTCGTCGCCTTGCAGACATCATGTTATCATCGCTCACCAAACGCCAACGATGCGCCATTTGGTAACACATTTCCTGTTCTTTTGTCCTACCTTTGGTCAACGAATTACCGAGCTGAGCCTCGGAATGAACCCAACGGATCTGCAAGTTGGTGACATGCTGTGAGTGCATTTGACACACAAGAGAGTCAAGTCAGTTTTTCTTTCAGCCCCTTTGATGGTCAGTTCGGTGGATTGCAACTTATCATAAACATTACGACTATCCGAAATGAGACAACCAGGAACCCCCCTAACAACAGAATCAACATCATATATATTAACATCTTTATTCATCATTTCACCCCATTGGAACCGTGCATGGTACATGAGATCTTCACCTGACACAGCGGCCTGTGCTTCAGCAGCCCCTGGACTTCTACATGCCCTGTCAATTTTACTTGCATGCCAACCGATGGGAATCACCTTACAAACTTCCCCTTCATGAAGACTCATGGGAGCTAAACCCACAAAAATCCCCTGGGTACTACTTCCATCCAACCGGTTCTGTCCAGCGGCATCTGCCCAAGTGAAAAACCCAACTGGCACATGTTCAGGTATGGCATGTATGATCATTTTATGATTCTTACGAGCCTTGGTGAAATGGACCAATTGGTTGACTTTGTTGATGGTTTCCACAGTGCTTTTACTTACTTCACTCAAGTACAGTCCAACCTCCGCAGAAATGTGGGGTGCCACCTGTTGTGCATGCCAACTCAGTGCGCCCAAAGTCGCGCGCAAGGCACTCTTCTCTTTCTCCGTCGTTTCTGCTTTGGGCTCTTTCTTGCGGCCCGCGCTGACATAGACTTCAGGGATCTTTTCCACATACTGAGTTTGACTCAAGTGAAAAGAACCATCCATTTGTTCTTCAACTCTGACTCCGCACTGTGTGAAAGACTTTTCCTCCCACTCAGTCCAGCGGAATTTTTCTTGTATTTTTGCTATCAGGGTTTCCCATTGGGGTTCATCTTTGGGGCCCGCAAACAGAACATCATCAACATGACCAGAAATCATCCCCTTGAGAATCCCTTGTGGTTTCCACAGCCATGTGCAAGGGTCTGACCAACTCTTGATCAGTCCCAGTGAATCTAAAAACTCACTCACACTCCGGTACCATTCCAGTGGCGCATCGACTAGACCGTAGCAGCCACGGCGCACCCTGGTGATACTTCCCTTTTCAAGCCCCATGGCCTGGCAAATTTCATCGCAAGGCACACAGTATAGCTCTTTGGGGTATTCTCTACCCTGCAAAAAGGCTCCAGTGACGTCTCCTTTTCGGACACGCCACTTGAATCGAGCAGCGGCTGAAAATAGCAGCTGCCTGGACTGTCGTGTCATGACTGGTGAGGTTGTTTCTCTACTCTCATATTCAGGATCTTGGTATCCCAGCAAAATTGCACGAGCCTTTGGCTTCTGGGATCCATCCTCTTGCAACTTCCATGTGAGCAACCACCGCATGTTGATGGCCTTTTCGGCCGGTGGTCGCATGTTGGTTGGTAATGCCTCGAACGCTCGGGCACTCAGAAAATTTTTAACTTCAGTGGTCTTTGCCTCCTGAAAAGCTTTAAAATCAGCTTCATTCAATTTTCGTTCATTTACCTCAACAGCACGACGTTTCAAAGCTCCTACAAAGTAACCAGCGAGATCAGTTGTGAACTTTGTCCACTCCCGATTGCTTTCAGGCATGGAAAATTCTATTTCTACAGCTGTCTTTTCATCCGACCAAAACTGTTCTCCATCAGCTTCTTGTTTGCTCTGTTCAGATACCTTGGAATACCAGCAGTCCTGAGGGTAAAAACTCTCCATAAAATTCTGCTGATCAAGGCGAGGTCTGGATGATGAGGATGCACCTGGACTCGGTGTTGCTGGGTCTTGCCTTTTTCCATGAATGCGCATCCTTGGAGTTGTTGGATCCAGTGGTGGTAGTGGAGCCTGATTGTCCACTTCCATCTCATTTGCCTTTTGTTGCTCTGCCGCTTCTGGTGCCTCATGAGTGATGTCATCATACTCATTGCCACCTAACCCTTCTGTAAGACGTTGAAACGTCCAGGGTGCTCGCTTGTGGTCCTCCTCCGACAGGTGCTCGAGCAAATGTTCTCTTTGTGTGGCATGGCGTAGTTGTTCTGGACAGCACTTTACCAATCTGCGGCCTCGAATGACCCAGATGGAACTTCCGGGAAAAAGTTGTCCATCTGGATCTCTCTTGGTTTCTGTAACCAATATTCTCGCTGGTCCTAGGAAAACTCCTTGTTTCTGACGCACACCGCCTTGTTGACCTGAAACTTGTTTTCGCCAGTAGTACACTAGGTCTCCTGGGTGATAGTCAAACTTCGGGTTGCCCCGTGAGTTGAGTGCCCGCACAATTCTTTGTTGTGCGATCCATTCTGCATGAGCTTGCTCGGCCACTTTCATCCGGTGGATGTTCTCTTCAAACTCCGGTCCTGCATTGGGCAGCAACTGATCTACTGCTTGACCTGTCAAGGTCTGGATGCACCTCCCTTGTTCATCAGGAGCGCGACCCAGCGCATGTTGTATGGGTGAAAACCCACGAACCAACTCCCTTGTATTGAAGGTTCTCACCACTGTAGCAAGGGCCTCCTCCGGAGTAATTTTGGGGTCCTCTTGCGCCAGTTTAGTGAGGAGTTCTTTGGTTCCCTGTATTGCTTGCTCACAGATTCCTAACTTCCAGTGTGCTTCTCCTGGGATGAAATCCAGGAAGATTCCATGTTTGTTGCAGTAGTCTTCTACTTCATTGCTTTTGAATGCCCCTGCGGGGTCGAGCCGTAAATGCTGCGGGTGACCAAAGTACTGACACCAACCTTCTTGGAGATAGTGGAGAAACATGCTAGCTTTCATGGTTTTGTGTTTGCCTCGGCACATGATCCTAGCAGCCCTAAACCTTGAACCTTGGTCGATTATCATCGCAAATTCCACATACTCCCCTGTCACTGGGTGGATCCATTTTCCACCATCGGCTTCCAAGGACGACCATTTTGGGGGAAGAGGTTCAAGTGACGCCGCATGTTTATGGTTCACTTTATGTTTCTCTTTACAAATAGCACATTCAAAATCCCTGGCAAGTTGCAACACATGTTTTGGGGCTCCCCTCTTTTGTAAAGCTTCCACCATATGACGTGTGTTCCCATGACCCGTGGCAGCATGTAATTTGTACAACTGTTTCTTGATCATCTCAACCTGTTTGGGGTCTCCCTTAATAATCCCTTCTTTGGGGTCTTCATTCATCATGGCATCATCCCAAAAATTGGAGTCCACTTGACAACATGAACCACACTGTTGATTACTCCCATGTTGTTTGAGGTGGTCACACATGCAAGCCGCACCGGACCCAAAACCCTGAGGTAACTGGGATTCCCCCCCAAGTTCATCAACCACCATGCTGTGAGTCATTTCCTGAAGAATGGCAGAAACCACACGCTTCGCAAATTCGGGGGTATAGTAAGCACTAAGACCCGTCAACTTCCCTTCACATTTCGCATGTTTGGTGTCTTTGTAACACTTGCATGGCAAATCCATCATCCTAGCAAGTCGCTTGTGAGTCGTCATGAGCTTCCATCCCTTATGTAAATGGTGTTTAGTTTTGGGGTCCCGTAAATTCACTTGACATCCATGGACAACACTCACCCACATTTGGTACCTACTCATGATCTTTTGGATCAGTGGAAGTCGCCAAGCTTGACATTTCTCCGACCATTCCCATGTCACGTGACACCCTCTTTGGATGGCATAGTGCAAAATGCAACTGGCGCCAACGTACTGCTTCAGCACTGCTTTTCGTTTTTCCTCCAGCGTTGCCTTTGGTATTCATCTTTTTGATTGAGATTCTGCATCGGTGAGTAAGGGCCACATTCTGTTGAAATCCAAACATGGGCAGGATGCAACCTGTCAATCTGACTCAACACCAGTTTGACCCCTTCTCCCGTACTCAAATCATGGTTATTCCAGTGAGAGCATCGAATTGCCGCTTCCTCATAGCCAACAGTTTCTTGGGTGACCCGGGACAAAACACTTTCGGGGGAACAAGCAACCTCCAATAAAACAGTCTTCCTATCCCCAGTGATCAAAGACTGAAACGTTTTTGGAAGCGCTGCCATGGATTGCAGTTCAATCTGCTTGGCATGTTTTTCAGAGAGAGAACTCCGTCCCTCCTGGGAACTTGAAACTGCCGCAGACTGGCACTCAGATTGCCTCTCAGCTATGTGCTCCGGCCACTCACCACGCTGAAGCTCCCTTCGGAACTCTCCACTTTCTTGCGGGGCCGTTGTTCTTGAAGGTCGGCAATCTCCCCCTTCAGTTCCTTCATTGTGTCCATGATCACTGCCATGGCATCCATGAGTGCTTGACTGCTGCCGCGGCTGTTCGTACTCTGGGCATCCATCTCCTTCATGGTGATCACGTTCTGGGTCTGGAGGCTCAAGTTGGGCTCCTTGGTGTTCATCTTGACATCGATTTGTTCTGGAGTTGTCTCGTTCTGTTCCGACTGGAGCCATTTGGCCAGTCGGGCCAATTGGGGGCAGGTGCCACCCTCCTCCCAGGTCTTCAGAACCCAGGCACAGTAGTTCACATCCATCTTCACCTCCTCGTACGAAAGAGACGCGGCCTTGCCGAATCCCACTGGATCTGTTGGATCCGGGTGACTGATCTCGTAGATGCGTGTCATGGCAATCTTTTGCAGCTGGGCAATGGTCTCGGTCATGGTCAAGGGAATCTTCAGGCTCTGGCAAAACTCCTGGAGAGTGGTCTTTTTCTTGCTGGCCACATTGAGTTTGATGACCCACTTCCGCAAGTCGGTCTGGGCTGGCTTGCCGGGGACCACACCATGTTCGTCGTGCAGTTGGGCAAGACGAGTTCTGAGCTCGGGTACCGTCCAGGACTTGGGAGGTGTCTCGCCGTACTCCTGGATGGCCTTGGCCAAATCCTCGCGTCGCATCTTCGAGACCATGGCCAGGAAGTTGGGAACTGGTAGTTCTTGGGCTGTCGCTGCTGCAGCTGCTGAAAACGGTTTTTGTTTGTTTTTGGGGTTTTTGGGGACCATCCACTCGCGAATCACCCTTGGTTTCATGACTATCACCAACAACATCATTCAGATTGTCGCCTAAAACCTGATCACCTTTGGAAAAATTCTCAGCAACATGAGTTGCGTGTGTTTGGGCTACCTGAAATTGGTTGACCTCCCTTTCTCCTTCAGGCAAAGGATCAGAGAGGAGCTGTCCCTAGCAAAAGTCACTAAGGCTAGGCACCTGGCGGTTGCAGGTGATGGCATCTTTGTACAAATCCTCAGTAAGTGGCAGCAGTTGGTGCCCCGATGTCGAGCGCTCCAGTGGGATCACCTTGTTGGGGTCCAATGCACGCAGCACCATCAGGTCGGCATCGAAGTCGATCACGGCCTTCAACTTTCTCAATGTTTGCACTGAGATCAGGATCGGGCCCTGGCCTTTGTCCAAGGCGTGGATCTGAAGAACTCCTGGGCGTTCGCCAGCTGCTACTTCCAGATTGGCCGTTGACACACAGGCATCCTGGGAGCTATTGCCAAAACAGAACACCGGTTTGTTGGTGGTGTCAACGCTGGCTAAACGGCTGTTGCCATGCTTTTCCTCATTGATGTCCATCACCGTCTGGATGGCCTCGATGGAGCCCAGAGTGCGTGTAGCACCCCCATCAATCACCGCGTAACCGGCTTTGACGGCCTCTTGTGTTGATTTTGCACCCATCGTTGCCACAAGTGCGGCATCATCCAGAGTGTTCGCATCGGAGAAGCATACAAACGGTGCTTCCTCAGCCACATGCCCCTGGTTTGCTGTTGTTTTGTTCACAGGAGCGTTCTTGTCTGGACAATCTCCAGTACGGTGAGCTTGGCCACAGCGAAGGCACTTCAGTCCTCCACCATTGTTTGACTTGTAGTCGGGCTTGAAGGAAGCAGCTCCTCGGTTGGAGAAGCTTGTCTTGTAGTACTGTCTTGAGAGTCTCACCTGGTGTTGGCGAGAGCGGGCCTCACGCAAAGTGCGCTTGGCCTGTTGGATCACAGCCTGGGCCTCTTGAATCTCATGAGCTGCCTCACCGTAGAGAATCTGGCCTTCCTCATTGAGTCCATCCATCACGAAGCCCTCATTCTCATAGGTGTCACTGTCTTCCCAGTCCGGCAGGTTGTCCTGCCAGAAACCAGACTGCTTGGCCGTCTGATCCCTCCGTCGCAGTTCATCATCAGGCCACTGACGGCGAAGCTCCTGAGACACTCGGTGGACTGAGAAGTCCTCCTGGATGGCGGTCTGCACCAAGTTGCGTTCGGCGGCTTCAAGTCCAGCATCAGAGAGAAGGTACCATCCTTGGAGAAACTCTGGAAGCAACTCATCCGTGTGGAGCTTCCAATTCTCATCCTCTTGCTGGTTGTAGACACTTGAGGCCTGGTAGTTCCTGCCATACCCATGGTCGTGGCTGGATCCCTCAGCATCGTACCACTGCTCTTCGGTCTCTTCTTCGGCTCCACGTTGGCTGGTGGTGCTGGCTGGTTGGTCAGGCTCTGGTTGAGACTGGTTGCTGCTCCATTCCCTCCAGTCATAGTTGCGCCACTCCCACTGAGACCACTGCGGTGGCTGAGCTCCAGCCCGGTGGGACTGGTAGTAGTGCTGGACGCGGGACAAGGCTTGTCGTGCCCTGTGGTATGTCTCCATCTTCCGGGTGATGTAGGCATTCATGGTCTCCATGCGCCGCCTTCGGCTCTGACGGAAATACTTGTTGAGGTACTCCGTCATCTCTGGTATGGTGGGCCTCCCAAGGCACGACCGGAGATGTTGGAGTAAGTGAGCTACTCCACCACTGTAAGACACCCAGTCAGGGCGTTTTCCCATCACATGCTTCCGTGCTGCACCACTCAGTTCAGCTATCAGCTTGGGTCCACATAGATACCTCTTGTGATATGCCACACTTTGCTCCCACTGCAGGCTTTGCTCCTCATACTCTTGGAAGGAGGCCGCATCACCATCCCATTGCGGCACTCCCTCTTTCGACCTCTGCAGCACCACAGGGGTGCTCATCTTGGCAGTTGACTCTCGGCAGGCTTCGCGTGCCAAGCAACAACTCACTCCCTGGATCGCCCCTCAAAGGAGGCTCCGCGCTACCATTCAACTGCTCAAGGCACTTGCAGGCTGAAGTTCACGAAGTAGCTGAGGCTCTCAAGTCACAAGGTGAGGAATATGGCTAAAACAGACCGGAAAGGAATACGGATCCACAGTATTCACACTAAGGTCGCACAGCCCCCTTTTCCTCGAGTTCCAAGACTGCGTAACAAGCAGAGACTGACTTGTCTAGCTACAAGTGGAATCACTTGCATATATATATATATATATCCATCTCTCTTTTTCTACCTATCTATCTACCTACCTACCTTACCTTACCTTACTTTACCTTACCTAACCTAAGCTAACCTAACCTAACCTACCCTAACCGAACCGAACCTAACCTAACCTACCTATCTATCTATCTATCTGTCTATCTATCTATCTATATACCTATCTATCTATCTGTCTACCTATCTACCTACAACTGTTTACATCAATTCACATCTATTTACATCTAGCTACATCTAGCTACATCTATCTATATACTTCTATCTACCTCTATCTACATCTGTCTATCCATCTTTCTATCAACCTGAGAGGAAGTAATTATGCGAGACTTCCTTCAAAAGAGGAAGCTGGCAGGTCCCAAATGATGAAATGCGGCGAGACGTCCTCAAATAACAAAACATCACCGCTCCAAAACGACGAACTCTGCGAGATTCCCTCAAAAATCGAAGTTGACAACATCAGAAACGAAGCAATTCCGGGAGGCTTCCTTCAAAAATGAAATCTAACTTCAGGGCTGACGGCTTCATATCAATGCGTTTTGTGATTTTTCCATCCCATCTGTCTAAAGTACCCCGCTGTAGCAAAGCTGAAGATCTGATGCTCCAAAATGCAACACATCTCAGGAAATCAATGCCCCCCTGACCTCCTGACGTGTCTGATGAAGATGTCTCTTGTACTGTGCCTGCCACACAAAATGCATTTTTGCAGATCCTCTTCAAACTTCAAACGTCCCACCCGTACCATAAATTTTGAAACTGCTACAAGACCCTCGCATTTTGGCTCACTTGTGGCGAGGTGCAGAATCCATTGCGCCTGCCACGACAAAGGACAATTCAACGTCCAAAAGTGGTCCGAACCTGGTGTGTTTTGACATTTTGACTTCCCACAGCCGCGGGCCTTTTTGAGGAGGTCAACTTCCAAAGGTGCTCCGACAATGAAGTGTTTTGAGCATTTTGGCTTGGACATGTGGTGGCAAAACACCGTGTTCCGCGACTTTTCTACCTGTTCGCGCAAGTTGACATTCTTTCTAAATACTGACTCTCTCTTCTCTGACTCTTCCCACCACTGTTGCTACATCTGTCCATATGTTGAAGTTTGACTTCTAAATTTCCTTCGGCCAATAGTTGATGTACAGGTTGCAAGTTTTGAGGTACAAAGAGGGCATATGTTTCTGGTGCTTGATGGCACTGAATGGCTTGGATACAATAATCAGATTTTTATGCTGGATAAATTTTACCATTCCGACGGAGACACGAAATATCGGAAAAGGAAGAGCAGTGACTTCTTTGGAGCTTGTCAAGCATTATTTCCAGTTGCTGCATGGAAAGCCGAAGAGTTGTCCTGTCGATGATCTGATGTGGACTTGTGAGCAAGGGCCGATTGAACACAAATCTGGTGGAAGAGGCCTCAGGGTCGTAAACACCATGAGGAAATGGTGTTGCCCATTCAAGAAGAGATGGCAAATTCGACATGGACAGATGATTGAGCGCGAGTACATGAATAGTGCAGAAATTCGAGACAAGGCCAGGCATGTATGAACACCGCATTTGTTTGCTTTGGAGGAATTGTTTTCGCAATGTTGAAGATTTGAGGTACGAAAATTTGATGCAGGTTCTGATTCATTTTTTGAAACCGAACTTTGTAATTAAAAGAGGCACTTTTCAGTTTCAGACCTTTGAGAATTGGTTTGACTATTTGTGCCAGCAAGCTCATGACGATGGCAAAGAAATTTGTGTGATCAACCTCGACAAAACTTCTGTTCATCGATGTGCCTTACGGGAGATCAAACACAATAGCCCTTGAGGTTGGTGAATTATCTATCATTTTTTCCGGCCAATGAATTTTTGGACTAAAATGATTTTTTTCGACTGTTACTTAGCCCTTGTGGCCCTACATGCCAGCATTGGTTCCTCTAGGTGATTTGGGTGCGGAATTTGGCACGCCTCAATTACCACAAGATGTTGCCCCCCGCCCCCAGATGGTTTCTAAACCCGTCTAATATAACCATTCAAGCACATATCATGATATATCACAATGCATAATCAGCAAGGAATATAACATATATATATATATATGTATAACATTATAACCCATATATATATATATCCACCACTACAAACCTTAGTCGTTAGTCCCTACTTAGTTCAACCAACTCGGCTACAAATTGTGCACCACCACAACCACCATCAACCGCTGAGGATGGTGTGTGACTTCACATCTTTGGGATCAGTGGGGCTCCACAGGGTGGCTGAGATTTGAACCATAAAATGGTACAAATCTCAGGGCGCGGGTCAAAATTATTGAACCCAAACATAGATGACCCAATGTGATACCATAATCGGTAATAAACCATAGATGGTCCAAAATTATTTAATTATCAACATTATTAAACCATAGATGATCCAAAATTATTTTATTATCAACATTATTAAACCATAGATGATCCAAAATTATTTTATTATCAACATTATTAAACCATAGATGATCCAAAATTATTTTACTATCAACATTATTAAACCATAGATGATCCAAAATTATTTTATTATCAACATTATTAAACCATAGATGATCCAATTTTTGTAATCCCAATTTAGACGAAAATGTTGTAGGCCAATTGGTACCCAACGTTGACCCACCATTTTCTAGAAATGAAGACCTGTGAACATAGCTAATCCAGACATATCAAACCCCATCATTTGGGGAGAGACATCCATTGATCAATCTGGAGAGGCAAAGAGACCATGGTAACACATAGCAGGAAACCGTGGTAATTATATCCATTTATGATTTGGACCATTTCGGCCGTTGCTGGTATGCTACACTGTGTCATGTCATTTTTGTGGGACTTTCCATCCCAGGCGAAAAAATATGATGTTGAGATGGATCAAAACATATGAGATACCACAGTCACATTTTGGGATCATGGGCATCCATGAAACCAAGAAATTTTCACTTGCTGTGAACTGCAAGTCCTATAGGCTATAGTATTTTAGGGTTGTTTGATATCCCGTAAAATATCCCATTATGCACCCATTAAAAAAAAAACTCACCGATGCGCCATGATCTCTGACGTATCAAGGCGTCGAGCGACGACCGAGGCCTTTTCCTTACAGAACTCTGCGCGCCCAGATGCGTTGATGCCTTCAGTCCCTTGGCCGCCCAAGGTTTCAGGGTTCGCGGTTTCAGGAAACCAAGATCTGGTTTTCTATGGAAAAAAAAACATTGTTTTCCAGAGAGTAGGAGGGCAACGTTCCACTCCACAATGTCGGGCCCCTAAGATAGCTAAGTTGGTAAACATAGCTACAATAACTACTGGTTTTTGGGGGATAGATCTGTAGTTAAATGGGGTTATAAACCAACTTATGACTAGGGGTCTCCACTATGTTGGGGATGTCAGGATTACCCACTTGGATTTTTGTTCAACTAAATGGAGGCTTAATGTGAAAGTATTGAAATCTGGTTGGTGGTTTGGAACCATGGAATTTTATGACTTTCCATTCATTTGGGAATGTCATCATCCCAAGTGACGAACTCCATCATTTTTCAGAGGGGTGGCGAAAAACCACCAACCAGTTATAGATGGGAGACCCATGACGGTTCCAGGCCATTCCAACTTTGACTTCAGGAGCCGGGAACCGACCAAGCTGCTATAAACCTCTGATGCTTGATGACTAGTTCGGGTTTATACTACCCTATATATAGGGAATTATATGGGATTATCATGGTCCAGTGTTGGAATCCATTGTAACCGGCACGTACAATGGAATGACATGTGGTTTTGAACCCTGCTTCTTTAATTAGTAGTTGTTATGACCCACAAAATGTTAAGGTTTAAGTGGGGATCTGGATATAATCGGATACGAATGGAATATGACTGTGGATACTAACAACAATTTCCAACAATCTGGGTAAATTATAACGACCTCACTGCGACCTCACTGGAATCATGGTTAGTAAGGGAAAATATCCCCAAATAGCCTTAATTCAGGTTAGCGAAATATTATAATTTACCCAGAACAATGTAGTGCCTTCAATCCTTAGCTTTGTTCGTTGAGCTAGAACTCTAAACGAATGGAGTTCACCAAACACACCAAGGTCGGCGCTCTTCAGCCAGGCGATGACCCCTCTCGGTTGATGATGAGTTCGCTAAAATCAATGGGGGTTCAACGGTTAAACCATGAAATTATGGGGAGATGAGCTATAGAACTGATCCCTCTGGTAAACCTGCAAAAAGCTATGGAAGCTATGGCCCATTTATAGATGGTTTATTAAAGATGATGATTTTCTATAGCTATGTAACAAATTACCAGAGGGTAAATGGTGTTTGGTTGACGATTAGTTCGGGGATAATCCCCCAACATATTGGGACTTCTCGTAATCCATTCTGGGAATCCCGCTATAAAAGGGCAGGAAAAAGGGATGACAGAGGGTTTTGAACACTACCCATTTAGGAGGATACCTTTCAACCACCCAGTAGAATAGAATTTCAGGAATACACTTGATACATATTCATCAGTTCTGGGGATTGAATTGAATAAGTAGAATAAGCATTTATGGCGTTTTTACTGAGTAACCATCAAATATATACAATGTGAGGCCCCCCAGTTATAAGTTGGCTTATAAACCCACTTATAACTGGGGGACCTCACATTGTAGGGAATGGATGGGTTGCTGGGGGTTGCTGGGAT